AAAAAAAAAAAAAAAAGGTCCCCTTTTGATAAGGTTTCTTCCTCTTTCTAGGAGGTGCTGATGATGCTAGACAATTACGTGCGGGATTTCAAGGCCTTGATAGACTGGATTCAGTTGCAGGAGAAGCTGGAGAAGGCTGATGCTCAAAGCAGGTAATTGGGGAAGATCTTCCTCCCTCCCTCCCTCCCCCTCCCCCCCCCCTTTCCCTCCCCCCCTCCCTCCCTTTCTCCCTCCCTCCCTCCCTCTCCCAGCCTCCTTTCTCTCTCCGTCCCTCCCTCCCTCCATCCCTCCCTGTTTTTCATCTCCCTTCTCCTTCCTTCCTTCCTTCCTTCCTTCCTTCCTTCCTTCCTTCCTTCCTTCCTTCCTTCTTTTTCCTTCCTTCCTTCCTCTCCCAGCCTTTCTCTCCCTCCCTCCCTTTTTCATCTCCCTTTCCTTCCCCTTCTTCCTTCCTCCCTCCTTCCATCCCTCCCTCCCTCCCTCCCTTCCTTCCAAAGGACAAGACAGCATTGTACTAATCGTGGGTCCTTCAGGGCTTCCCTGGGCATTGCCACATCCGGGAGCGATGTGCTATTAATGGCAGGGGAAAGAAAAGCGTCTCCTTTCGGTATAATTTTCAGGCCAACCTCGCTTGCGTGGGAAGTCAAGAAGATGTCCCCAGGGCGCCATGTTATTCCCAGCCCATCGACCGACCGAATCAGCGTGACCTCCAACGCCCGGAGAAGCCTCAACTTTGGGTATGCAAAATTAAACGGCTTTTACTATTTCAGGGGCGAAACGGGTGGGCTACAACCGGCCCAAGGGAAGCAACGGGTGGCTCAGCAAGTGAGGAAACAGCCATTTGGTCTCCCGCTTCCCAGCTGCTGCGTCATCACCTGGTTGGGCGGGGAAAACCTGGCGAGCTTTCGCAGCCAAAGAGTGACCCACTGAGGTCCCATGGGCACCTCCATGGGGTGCCCAACCTTGGCAACTTTAAGACCCTTTAAGACTTCAACGCCCAGGTGCCAACTAAAAAGATACTCCTTTGGTCGTTTTAGCTGTTAGAAAAAGGGAGTTGAGGGGGAACAGTGCATTCCTTAAGTGCCTAGATAATCACCCTGGCAGCCCAAAGTTGTCAGAGCGCAAGATTATTACTGGAGAGCCTGATCGGTGACTCTTGGCTATGGATGTGTCCCATTGGAGAATATACATCCAGGGGGTGGAGGGAAGACCAGGGTCAAGGGGGAAATGAATGATGTATTTTAGTATTGGCTGCATCCAGCTAACGCCAACATGTCCGCTTCGAATAAATCCATTTTCTTTTCTCGGAGATGTGGCTAGAGACTTAAGATTTGAATGGGGGTGGACACTGCTAGGCACCGGAGGTTGTAACACGCGGAGCAGGGGAGAAGGTGGCAGATGGTCTTAATGGCTGGTTGTTCTTCTCTTCAGAGGACCTCCTGCGACCGTTACCTCGAACCGCCTGGCTCCTTCTGGGGTCAGCTGGGCAGACAAAGTCAAGGCCAGCCACCCAGGAACAGCCCCCCGCTTGGAGGAAGTGGCAGCCCAGGGCCAGGCGCCCCCGGCAGCGCAGAAGCCCTCCCGCAGAATGGGCAAGTATTTTTTTTTTCTCCCACCCACCCGTTTCCAATTCGGTCACCATCATTTCGGTACCCCAGTCCTCTCCATGCAAGGCGCCATTCAGTAAGAGGCTGCCTTTTATTATTTTTTTAATAAATTGTATTCATTTTCTATTAATTACATTTCTTCATGCTTGATCAACGTCGTCTTTGGCAGGGGCTGTCTTTCAGACATCATGCCTCAAAAGATAACCTTACAGTCATACAAATATCGCTGGCCTAAAAAGCATGCAAAATACACGGGGTTAAAACAAAATGACCTTTGCCCGATACAGGTAGTCCTCGACTTACAACAGCTCATTTAGTGACCGTTCGTTGTGGTCCTTTTGTACTTTTTCTAGAGTCTCAACATCTTTTTTTAATAGTGTGGTGAGCAAAACCGGACGCAGGACTCTGGGCGTGGTCTTACTCAGGCTTTATAGAGGGGTATTAGTACCTCCTTCGATCTCGATTGTATCCCTTTAGGGCCTGCTGGCCGTATAATTTCATTTTTACCCCCTTCGTCTAACAAACAGCGGAGGCAAAATATTAACTGGCTCTTTTCTTCACCCAACGCTGTTTCCGCCGCTAAGTTTTCCTCCTGATTTCTTGGTTGGCTTTTCCGTGTAGAGAGGAAGGATTCCGAAGGCTGGGAAACGGTCCAGCGAGGAAGGCCCGTTCGATCCAAATCTTCTGCCTTGGTCCCCAAAGCCGCTTCGTCTGTGGAATTATCGCAATTTAAGGATGACAGCGACAAAGAAAACGTCATTCTTCCACCGCCAGACTACAAACAGAAGGGCTCGTTGGCCAAGGATGCCGTGTCCAAAAATTTAGATCTAATCCTGAAGGACCATCAGTGTGAACATCCGCTCGCTGAGAGGACTCAGGTGAGCATATCTGCAGGGGTTTTTTTAAAAAAAAATTATTGATTTTTTATTAAATACATTTCTTAGCGCTTAATAAACATCGTGTTGTCTGAGTATTTCATTTGCTTAGCCATACAAATTTACATTTTAAAATCTCCACCCCCCTTTTTTTTTTCCAACCATTGGTAAAATAAATTCCACGTTCGATAATTTTCTGCATCTTCTTTCTGTTTAATTTTCAATGTCAATCTATCCCTTTCTGCACAATGCGTTTCTTCATCTCGAGGTATATCTTCATTTTTCCAGTATTGCGCGAATATAATGCTCGCTGCTGTGAAAGACACGAAATAGTAAATACATAACTTTTCTTATCCATTTTTTTTTCTGATATTATCTCTCTATATAAAAGCTAAGTACCACTCACGCATCATCACAAAATCTCCAGAGCCGTAAAGCCTACAGACTTAAAATTTGACAATATGTTTCTTTCGGCTTCTAGATGCTCACTAAGAAAGGGTTTTTTGAAATGACCATCAGAGCATTTCGAGTATTTTGTATATTATTATTATTAACATGCTCTGATGCTAAGGAGTTCTACTCCCCCTCCCCACCTGAAAAGAAATCTCGTCCAAATGCAAAACACAAGTAGAGGTGAGAAATTTCAGCTTCAGAGCACCAAGCAGCTTTAGTACAGAACAGTTGAGCTAAGCCACACCCAGGCTCCTTGCTGTCTCTTTGCTCACGCAGCAAATACTGTTTCAGTTTCCAAACAGTCCTCAACTCTCTCACACACTGACAGGACGCTAGCCAGATGAATACCGATGGATGCTGTTAGGCAGATTTTTTTCCCCCTTATTTTCCTCCCCCAAAGCTAAACCCAACGACATAGTTTCATAGCAAAGCACAGGTATCGAGCTAGTACCTAATAAAAACAGTTCAGGTTTAAAATCTACCTGTTTAAAATCTGCAGGTTTTTTTTTTTACAACGCCTGATTGGCTGTAAGAAGGGCTATGAGAATAAAGGAAGGAAGGAAAGTGAGATTTGGAGGGAGAGAAAAATAAAATAAAAGCATTAAATTGCCTTGAGCAATTTAAACAATACTGTCAGGGTTCCAAGTAATAGACCCATAGCAAACAAACCTACGAGGCAAATAATAGCTTTATTGGATATATCATCTTGGCACAGATCTGGTGAAAACTGACTCTAAAAGTTCCTGCAGTTTTCACCCAATTAAAAGTAAAAGTTTTCTCTCAAACCCCAAACAGTCTCATGGCCCAATCAAGGCGCTGTCTGGTTGCTTGATAACATGACTCCTCCTTCCTCTGTCTAGGTGTGAGAACGTCCTCAGTTCGCAAGAGAAAGTATTTTATTTTGGCTACACAACCCCAGCTATCTCTAACTCCACCTCCCTCTCCCTCAGCTCCAGTGTGGCAACACTGAAGCTCCAAGATGGCTGCACTCTGGTCAGCTTCAGGCTTGACAAAACACTCCTCAGAGTATCTCGGTGGCTCATCTGTCCACCTATCCCACATTTAGTTCACAGGCCGGGTGTTTGAAGAGCTCAAGGTCTCCGAGAAGATCACTGGACCTTTGCAACCCGTTTCCGAAGTGCCGCTTGTTCTCGTAGACGTCGAAGGCCACTCCGAGAGTCCACAGGTGGACGCCCACGTCACCTCCGTGGCTCCCACAAGTGATGACGCAGAAAATGTCAGGAGCGAAAGCGAAATGGATCCTGCAGACATTTCAAACGTAAGCACCTTCGTCTGCCGGGGCTCTGACAAACCACCCCGATTCGAATCGTGAGTCTCTAGCCACATCGCTCAGAGTAAAAAAAAAAAAAAAAATTATTAGGAGCGACCATGTTGGTGTTACCTGGATGCAGCCGACTCTAAGACACCATTCATTTCTCCTTTGACCCTGGTCTTCCCTCCACCCGCTGGATGTATATTCTCCAATGGGAGACATCCATGGCTCCCCAGTAATAATCTTGCTTGCCAACAGCTTTGGCTGCCTAGCAATTATCTGAAGCATTTAAGGAATGCACGACTTTCTCCCGCCTCTTTCTGCTGGCAACTAAAAAGACCAAAGAAGTATTTTTTCAGTTGACATCATCTATACCAGAGGTCTCCAAACTTGGCAACTTTAAGACTTGTGGACTTCAACTCCCACAACTCTTAAGGTTGCCAAGTTTGGGGATTCCTGATCTATACCAAGAGGTCCTAAATATGAGAGTACCAAAGCTGCTTGCGGTAAATTCACTCAATCCATTCATTCATTCATTCCATATTTCTATGGCTGCCCATCCAAGTCAAGGACCCTGACCAGGTCGGATTAAATTATGATGAGCTCCTATTTACATCTACCTGCTTACTGAGCCCACCAACCCGTAACATGTAGGAGATCAACCGTGATCCTCACCTGGGAAGGATCGTTCTGATTTCCCCGTCTGCTTTTCCTCACCTCCGTTTCTTTTTTGCAGTCCATGGCCGAGGTGCTCGCTAAAAAAGAAGAGTTAGCAGACCGCCTGGAAAAAGCCAACGAGGAGGCCATTGCGAGCGCCATCGCCGAAGAGGAGCAGCTGACGCGAGAGATCGAAGCTGAGGAGAACACCGATATCAACCTGGAAACGGACAATGACAGCGACTTCTCTGTGAGTTTGCAGCGCGCGCGCGTGCGTGTGTGTGTAAACTGACTGACATTGATGGAATGGCTCTTTTTCCAGAGCCCCCGTCGGCCTCAAAAATATAACGCTGGCCTTTTATATACTATTTGACATTGAAGAATAGCCGGGCCCTCCTCACTCTATAATAGGCGAGCCAGGAAAAATATACAAAAGTATTCTGACTCGTGAGGTTTCCTTTTTTTGCAACCGTGTAGAAATTAACTGCTTGTTTCCCGGTTAGAGAATTCGTGTGTTCTGGGATTTTCAGGAACTTTTGGGAGAAGAATAAGGCCCATCGGAAACTGGGGGTTGATTGGGGACTAACCCTGATGGTTCTCGGAGAAAAATTCCCTCTTGCCTCATTCACTACCATTTCAAAAATAGGGCTTAACTGTGATTAGTTAAAACAAGCCAGAACATAGGTTAAGATCCTTGGTAGCGGGTAGTCCTCAACTTGTAACTCAGTTTGAAGTTACCGTAGCTTCAGGAAAAGTTACTTACGACTTACGTATTCAACTTAAAACCATCCCACCATGCCTGCGACTACAATTCAGGCATCTGGCAACTAGCTTTCATTCACGACCGGTTGCTTCATCCTGCAGTCACGTGATCCCAATTTGCTACCTTTTTTTGCCAATTTCCTGCCAAAAAAACCCCCCACCCACCCACCTCTTCAGGAAACTAGATTCCCTTAATAACTGTGTCATTTGCTTAGCACCAAAGCGATTAGCTTAATCGTCATAAAAATGAGTCTGAATTAACTTACGACCCTCAAAAATTTAGGGCAAAAATCCCAGGCTCAGTTGTGGTCATAAGCTGGGGATTCTCCGTCACAGCCGTTGTTCTGATTTGCAGAAAGCAGAAAGGAACAAGGCGAAAGGGAATTCCTTCTATATTGTTAGAAAGCATCTGAAATTTTCTTCTGCATTCTGGATTTTTCAGGCCAGCCTGGGTAACGGCAGCATATCCTTCTGCGGCATTTCCATGGACTGGAATGATGTCCTGGCAGATTATGAAGGTACCCTTTCCCCCCCCCCCCTCAAACCATGTTCTATTTAAAAGAGCCAACATTTGCAGTTAATTTGAGAGCCTTGTTCTCATCACCACCCTCATGCAATTGTGGGCCGTTATCCTGGATAACTGGATCAGCTTCGGCTTCGAAAAACCGATTCTACGGGTTTTTTTTTTGCAGCTCGTGAATCGTGGCGCCAAAATAATTCCTGGGGAGACATCGTGGAAGAAGAGCCAGCTCGCCCGCCAGGCCATGGAATCCACATGCACGAAAAGCTCTCGTCTCCGTCTCGCAAGAGGTCTTCCCTTTTTTAAACGTTTTGATTCCATTATTCGGGGAAAAATGTGAATCAGAATCTCTGTGAGTCGTAATCCTGATAATTCAAAGGCGGGGAAACTTTGCGCCAAAATGTCTGGAGGGAACTCTGGTCTGCTTGAGTAACACAACATTTTCCACGGCCTCTGCCTGAACAGTCTTAGCAGCGACTTAACTATTATTATCACAATCACAACTCTAGAGGTACATGCACTATATCGTGCCCTGTAAATGAAGTCTGAACTGGGAATCTTCTAAACGAGACGTCGATGTTTTTGCATCATTGGTGAAACCCTCCGAGGGTTTCGTAACTCTATTTTTAAACCACCTGTGCTGCTTGTGCAGTGTACCGTAGGTTTCCGCGGCTTCCGCATTCTTTTTTGGGGTGCTCAATTTTCCATGTATTCTTTCCCAAGGACAATTGCAGAATCGAAGAAGAAGCATGAAGAGAAACAGATGAAGGCTCAGCAGCTGAGAGAGAAGCTCCGGGAAGAGAAAACGCTAAAGCTTCAGAAATTAATGGAAAGGGTAAAAATTTCCAATGGCTCTTTTAAATCCTGAAATTGGGAACCAAAAGTTGTGTCCCCCCCCCCCCCCCACAACCGTGTTGTAATACGATCGATACAACCACCATCAATATTAATGGCAAGTTTGCACAATGAAAGATGTCATAGTAGTTGGGGATTTCTTTGACTCTTCATTCTCCTCTGCAGGAAAAAGATGTAAAAAAATGGAAAGAAGAATTGTTGGACCAGCGGCGAAGGATGATGGAGGAAAAATTGCTCCACGCAGAGTTTAAACGTGAAGTACAGTTGCAAGCAATTGTCAAAAAAGCCCAAGAGGAAGAAGCTAAGGTAAGATCTCTCAGATCAGAATCTTACTGCATTTAATGGACATGGTCCTAATTACAGGTTAGTCCAGAGCCCAACAATAGAAATCATAATATATCTTTGGTCCATAATTTGTGTACCCCTGATCTACTAAAATTGCATTAGGCGTCTTCCTTTCAGGCCAGTCTCTTGGGCACATTTTCTATTTCTGAACTGCAATAGCAGCGGTCCTCGGCCTGAAGGCTTCTCTTTTTGAAGTTATTTGTCTTCAATGTTATCTCAAAACCGTGAGATAGAAACAGCAAGATCTTTCTTCTGAAGCTTTGAAGAAGACTCTGAAGGCCAAGTGTGGTTCTCAGCATCTGAATGTTGATGCTTGACTTCCCACCGGTGAACTGTTGTCACCAAAGGCACAGTTTTCTCGCTGTCCTTTTTATCATCACTAGCTTCAGTACCTCGAAGACAACCTATCAACCTTATTTTTAAGCGAAATAATAAGCCCGGACACTTAGATTTGATGGGAAAACCCTTCCGTTAGAGAGAGAGAGACAGAGAGAGAGATAAACTTTTGCTCCGAGGTTTCTATTTGCTCCGTTTGGCATCTTGTCTCAGAACTGCCTTTTTATTTTTTTATTTTATTTTTTTTAAAATGGGCTGCCCTGCGTCAATTGGATAACTAGAATGCACAGCCTTTGCCATAAATTGGATTTTCACTACTGTGATGTGGCGAGTTGATTTGCAGGCAATATTCTATGCTACGGTGAGCGCTGGTTTCCCTTTCCGCAGGGGGAAGGAGAATTTCAAGGGTCCGCGCATGTGTACACACCGGGTGCTATTTTTTTGAAAAGTCGTGTTTTTAATGCTTTGCGAGCCCTTAAGACAGCACAGTTGGATGAGTCCATTAGCCCGCAGGCTGCCTCTGCTGTCTTTTCTTTTACCTGCGGGCCCTGGTTCCCTTAATCCCGGGTGACTCCGGCAATCAGATTAACAACCCCATCCTGTTGTAATTCCCACTTTGGCAGATGGGCTAAGGCGTCGCATCGGTTCGACGGGGCATGAGATCCCTGGCCCTTTGCACCCCGAGATCACGGCTAATTGGGTCAGTGCTATTGGTGGGGACGGAGGAGGAGAAAGGGGGGCAAATAAAAAGAAGGCCGGGACTTCCTTTTTCCCTGCGCTCCCCTCCTACCGCTGTCCGCTCAGTGAGCTGCAAAAAAATCCGTCCTGCAAATGTGTTCCGCTCGGCCGACAAAGCGGAAAGTTGGACTCCGTCTGGGGATGTTTGACACCGCTGTAAATGGCGGGAGAGAAAGTACCAAAATCATCAGAGTCGAAAGGTGCCGCTTAGCCTCTGATCCTGGCGTTCAGCTCAGGACAGAAAATATCCAGTGTCTTTCTCTAGCGTTGCGCTTTTCCTTCTGCAGATTGGAGAGCGAGAGGGCAAGAGCCAAGAGAGGAAGCGAGATGAAGTGGGAATGGAGTTCTGGTACAACGGAAGATGCTTTTAAAAGGGAGAGAGAGAGAGAGAGAGAGAGAGAGAGAGAGAGAGAGAGAGAGAGGGACCATTGCTTAGGGAATCCGTGTGCATTGGGGTGGTGAATTCATTCTCAGGAAGCGAGGGTCCTCAGAAATCCAATTAGGGGGCATTTTGCAGAGAAAAAAAAAGGAAGCCCGTTGCCCAAATCGCTTTGATCCGATGATGTGGCGGAGGAACTTGAGCACACTTCTTTACTTGGAGATCCATCGGGGGGTCTGTCCTAGAATTCCAGATCCAGACGTTTCTTTCATTCCCATATAAATCTTCTCTGGTGTTTACCTAGTTGGGTAATGGAACGTCTGCAAGAAAAACAGCCAAGCTCAGAGAGCACCAAGGTGTAGAGTTGTAATTGCAGGAAGGATATTATCTTGATGTCAAACCTCAGATAAGGACAAAAGCAAATACAACTCAGGCAAACAAAATCACTAATGCAAAGAAGGATTAGAGAGAGGAAGTAAACATGTGTTAGACTTTAACTATAGATAATTAATTGTGTTAATTACTATGCTAGACAGTAACAAAGGCTGATCAACCACCAAAGTTAACCAATGTTAGAGGATTACTAGAAATGTGTATAAATGCAAGACTAGACTCCAATAAAGTCATCATGATTCATGTGATCATGATCAAACACCTCGACTGCCTCTTCACTGCAACACCAAGGACCCCACAAATCTTCTCTGATTCCCTTTAGGCAGTGTTTGCAATGTGAAGATGGGTGGGCCTCAACTCCCAGAACTCTCCAGCTGGTCATGCTTATATTAACCAAATTACTTCATTCCCCACAGCCAATTGACGTACAACTGTCTAAGGCGTTTGCTCCTATTTATTTTGCTCCGATCCAATTTTTCATCACGGTTACCGGAGTTCCCAATTCCCTCTTTGGCAGGTGAATGAAATTGCATTCATAAACACGTTGGAAGCCCAGAATAAGCGCCACGATGTTTTGTCCAAACTGAAAGAATACGAACAAAGACTCAACGAATTACAGGAAGAGCGCCAACGAAGGCAGGAAGAGAAGCAAGCCCGCGACGAAGCTGTCCAGGTACCCCTTAACTTCACAAACGCTGGAAGGAGTTGCATGAAGAGAGGAGGACAAAGAAGAGAGGAGCTTTGAATGGTTTATTGCTTTGCCTTACTGGAGTTCTACTCGGAAACACTATTGTGGTAGCTCTCTTCCCTCCCTCCTCTTCCTTTTCCTTCTCTTCCTTGACATCCCCTCACTCTAAAATGCTGTTGAGTCTGAATCAGCTAGTTGGAACTAACTCAACGTGATGATATTATCCATCTGTTTGCTTGTCTGTTTACCTACTCTCTACCTATAATCTGTCCATCCATCTATTGGCTGTCGATCTTTATCCATCCATTTTCTAACTATCCCCATCCAACCATCAACCATCTTTCCATCCATCCATCCATCCATTCATCCCAAAGCTTCTGTCTTTTCTATCATTGTGCGAACCGTTTAGGATTTCCATGTTTAACAAGCGGAAATGTTTGCTCTCCAGGAACGGAAGAGAGCTCTGGAAGCGGAGCGTCAGGCCCGGGTGGAAGAGTTACTGATGAAGAGGAAGGAACAAGAAGCTCGGATTGAGCAGCAGAGGCAGGAGAAGGAGAAAGCCCGAGAAGACGCAGCTCGGGAACGGGCCAGGTAGCCATGGCAAGACCCACTTTCGTATTTAATCCCAACCCAAGAGTTTCGATCGGTTTTTTTTTTAACCTTGTCGATTTTAACATGCACAGACTTCGATTCCCGGAGGCTGGGGGATTCTGGGACTCGAAGTCTACCCCATTTTAAACTTGACATGATTGAGAAATGTTTACAAATGGAATGTACAAATGCTCATCTAATGGGGCCTAACCCTAGAAGATAAAGACGTGCATCGAGGCATCGGACGAATGGAGGGAAGGAGGCACACACGAGATGAGTGCCTGGATTTATTATAAAATATGAGGTTTATTTTATCAACGGCTAGATAGAAAAATTGGAAAATGAAATAGAATACAATAGTAATGATTTGTTATCATTGATTATTATGGAATGGATTGTGATATGAATTAAAATGAGCAAGAATGGAGATTTGCTCTAAAAGGAAATAATGCAGATTTGAGATTAAAGTCTAACGATGGTGATTATAATAATAATATAACATGACATGGAAAGTGGATTAATATAATTTGAAGGTCAATTTAAATCTAAGAGGAAAAGACTACAGATATTGCGTGCAAGAAATATACACCAACCGACACACTGTACAATGGAAAGAAGGTTTTATTTGCTGTTGGATGTTTATGTGTGTTGTCTAAAAAAATAAAATTTTTACCAAAAAAACGACAACAACAAGATGAGTGTCTGGATTTTGCTACTCCTGAAAAGGTATTGATCCAGCCAAGAGCCTGAATTTTCCCATGTCTCTTGCTCCTTGCGTAGAGATCGGGAAGAGAGATTAGCTGCTCTGACTGCAGCCCAGCAAGAAGCCATGGAGGAGCTCCAGAAGAAGATCCAGTTGAAGGTATGGACTAGAAAGACGCCTCCCTAAAGGCAGAGAGCAAGAGGTCTCAACCTGGGGTCTGTGGACCTCCTGGGGGCAGGTGGGAGCACAGGGTCACAAGAGATCTGCCAAGGCTTGAAGCAAAGTTTTCGATTTAAACCTTGAGTTAAGCCCTCGGCGGGTGCGTGGCTGTGGTTTGCAGCCACAAAAGGTATTTTAAAGGGGGTCAGGGTCGAGAACCACTGGCCTAGATAGGTTTGTCAGGCTTGCTGATAACCTTTCAATAAATTGGGGGGGACGCACCCCTTCTCTTTGGCAGCACGATGAGAGCATCCGGAGGCACATGGAGCAAATCGAACAGAGGAAAGAAAAAGCCGCCGAGTTAAGCAGCGGAAGGCACGCCAACACGGACTACGCGCCCAAACTCACCCCCTACGAGCGAAAGAAGCAGTGTTCCCTCTGCAATGTTGTGGTAGGGGTCTCCTCTTACTAGCCTCTTGAGAGACAAAAGTGTGCCTCTGCCACCGAGGCCGCCTTAGCCGTGCCCGGATATTGCCTTCACGACGAGGAAAGAGTAGATCTACCCTGTCCTTTCTCCCTTGCAAAAGTCCTCAGAGATGAGGCGCATTTCTGCAGCGGGGAAGAGACCCCCCACGGTTTTTCCCTGGGCCAGATGTTGAGGCATCCCTTCCCAACCCTCCTCCAGATGTGTCAGGTTCTTGAGCTTTGCCGGTCAGGCTGTGTGATGACCCAAAGGGGCGTGGCACAAAGGCAACACAGTCACATAAGTAAGAAAAGTCCCTTTAATATCTCCAACTTTGCCCCCAGTGCCCAGTTACCTTCAGCTGGAGAAAAAAACTCTCTTTAAGTGGAGGAAATTCAGTCCGAAAACAAAGTACATACAAACTGTAACTAAAAATCCACACAAACCACGCTGCAGTAATTAACTGGACAGGGCAGCCGAAGGAATTGCAGACTTGAACGCAAAGCAAAACACACACAGTTGGGAAGACGCCAGGAACCCAGATAAGCCTCGACGATACCAGATAATTCACAATTTGCTCCCAACAGCTTGCTGCGTGCAGCTTCCTTTTTTATACACTGTGTTCCCAGCTGCAGCTAATGAAGGGAATCAGGGCCCTTTCCTCCCCCGTAAGCCATGCAACCCACGTTGCTCCCTTCTCCGTTTCCCCCTGCATGCCCTAGGATGAAGAGGCCTGGGTCTTCCTCTGAATTCCCGCTCCCTTGCTCTACCTCTGCCCAGCCGGACTTTGCCCTTCCCCAGTTTCTTCCACAGCCAACGGAGCCACACTCCCACTCCCTGTCAGCTGCTCGGCCTCCCCCTCCAAATCAGATTCCGACAGGGCCATGACAGGCTGTGTTGAACTCAGTATCGATGGAGATCCTCCATCAACCAGGTCTTGGTTGTCCCAAAGCTGCTTTTCCCAAAGGCCAACCGGACTTTCTCACTTCTTTCCTTGGGAAAACATTTTGCTTCTCATCCATAGAAGCTTCTTCGGTTCTGAAAGGTGCAAATTGGGAAGAGACGCCCTAACATCTGGCCTGGAGAAAAGAACAACAGAGAACCCTCTCCTCGGACTACCAATCACAGTCCATCAATCTTGTCCCCCCTAGAAGCCGGACTAGCCGCGACGTGTCGGGTTGGTTGGCTACCTCAATTTTTGCCACGAATGACCCGAGCAAATGTCACACGCCTTTTCCAGATTTCCTCGGAGGTGTATCTCTTTAGCCACATCAAGGGGAAAAAGCACCAGCAAGCTGTGAGAGAGAACAGCAGCATCCAAGGCCGAGAGCTCTCCGATGAAGAAGTGGTAAGTCTTCTCTCTTGTTTTCCCTTCTCCCCAATTTTATTATCCAACAGGACATGGTTGTTACGTTTGGCACAGCCTTGATCCCGTTGCCGGAAGATCGGAAGGATTTGGAATCCAACACAGTCTCACAGGCAGCAGATTAGAGCAGGGGTCTCTCCAACCTTGGCAACTTTGTGGACTTCAATTCCCAGAGTTCCTCAGCCAGCCAGTCCACAAGTCTTAAAGTTGCCAGGGTTGGAGATCCCTGGATTAGAGCTCTGTTTCTCAGCCAGGACAACTTCATGATGCGTGGACTTCGACTCCCAGAATTGGGAGTCGAAGTCCCACACCTCTTAAAAGGTGTCCAGGTTGAGAAGCTGGGATGTAATACAGCACATCAATGAATGTGAGGATTCGGAGATAGGTTACTGACCATAAGTCTGAATAACCAGCCAGACGAGTAGAAGCATTGGTGGAAGACATGTCTACTGAGACTCTGTTGAGAGCAGTGGTGGCGCAGTGGTTAGAGTGCAGTACTGCAGGCGACTTCTGCTGACTGCTGGCTGCCTGCAATTTGGCAGTTCAAATCTCACCAGGCTCAAGGTCGGCTCAGCCTCCCATCCTTCCGAGGTGGGTCAAATTAGGGCCCAGATTGTTGGGGGCAAGAGGCTGACTCTCTAAACCACTTAGAGAAGACTGGAAAGGACTGGAAAGCGGTATATAAGTCTATGGGCTATTGCTATTTCCTTCCTTCTTTCCTTCCTTCCATAACTTTGCCCACTGCCAGGAGTTCAATCCTGACTAGTTCAGGGTTGACTCAGCCTTCCATCCTTCCGAGGTGGGAAAGAGGAGGCCCAAATTGTTGGGGGCAAGAGGCTGACTCTGCAAACCGCTTAGAGAGGGGCTGTAAAGCACTGTTAAGTGGTATATAAGTCTAAGGGCTATTGCTATTTCCTTCCTTCCTTAACTCTGCCCACTGTCAGGAGTTCAATCCTGACTGGTTCAAGGTTGACTCAGCCTTCCATCCTTCCGAGGTGGGTAAAACGAGGACCCAAATGGTTGGGGGCAAGAGGCTGACTCTTCAAAGTGCTTAGAGTAAAAGCCCTGTGAGGCAGGATAGAAATCTAAGCGCTATGGCTATTGTCCTACTCAGAGCAAGGAGCTGAAGAGATACCCAGCTGGAGGTTGCAGTGGGACTTAAACCTTTCGGGAAAACCGGAGCTGGCTTTCCTGAACTTTTTGGAACTGCGGCTACACTCAGTGGCTGGGTTAACACATGACGGCAAGCTATGGTGGTGCGTCTTTGGAGTTGGCTTGGTGGATTCTACCAACACCCTGGTGGTTCAGTCATCAGTGGTTGTTTTGGTCAATGGGTCTTTTGATCTGAGATGGCACTTTTCCTGCAGGACATAGTGAACAGAAGAAGTCTTTCTTTAATCTTTGATTTTCTCCCGAGAGCTTGGTGCCTTTATTGAATGCGCCCCATATTGGAAGTACCCTGTTTGTCGAGTTAATTTGTTTTAATCAGTTACAGCCAGCAAAGCATTATGATAAATTCTAATATCATATGGTCTTTCTTGCTACGTACAGCTCTGGGCAAAATTTATATGCCTTTAGAACAGCAACGTTTATGATTTGCGTACTTAAGAGTAAAATTTCAAACTATAGGAATAAATAATGTGGTTGAGTCAGCTTAGTTTTACTTCTGTTCCCCATTTTATTTTTAATCAATGAAGGCACCTCTAGGTAAATGCACTATTCCTACTTAAAGTTATTGCTTTTCACCTCTGATGCCTTCATATTAAATGACCCTTCTCGTTTGATGTATAAGATTTTTATTTATACTACCCCTGACCTAATGAAATTTCACCTTTAGCCTCCTGCACTTGACACTTTGGATAACATACACTTGATCTTTGACACATTTCTGTTTTAAACCCAGAATGGGTAAGAGCTGCCCGCCACACAACCGAAATAACTCCATCGGAGAGGTCAATTCCAGACAAGGTTTCCATACTGAACCACAATCATTAGAAAACCCCATTGACAAAGATCACAGCGTAGAATCCAACTCCTAGTTGTTGTTGTTAATCGTAGCACAGCCAGCCAGATGTTCAGACCGGGTTTGGCATTTTTGTCTACTTATTGAGTCCTTACCAAGGACCTCGGATAGGCAGGTCTGGGTGTTTGATGGTGTTATATCCAGATCTTCATGTCCAGGGTCCTTTGGTAAGGACTTTACGTAGCACCTCACAGCCTATCATGAAGCGGTTTACAGAGAAAGTCTATTTGCTCCCCAAAATCTGGGTCCTCATTTTACCAACTTTGGAAGGATGGAAGGCTGAGTCAAGCTTGAGCCGGTCAGGATCAAACTCCAGACTGTGGACAAAGTGAGCCTGCAATGCTCCATTCTAACCTCTAAAGGGGAGAGGGAGGGAGGGAGGGAGGGAGGAAGTAGAAGGACAAAAGGAAAGAGAAGGAAGAAGGAAGGAAAGAGAAGGAAGGAAGATGGA